GTCATTCGCATTGACCTAGTCCCAGATGATATATATAAGCCTTTATCTAAAAGGATCTCCATTTTTGGCGGACAACAGTTGGAGACTTTTTGAAAATATTATCTAGGACTCTAGGTCAACTTTTTGAAAATATCCAAACAGATTCCCATTTTCAATGGCCTCATATTTTTCCTTTGTCACCTACGTAATAAATATGAACCTTATAAATTTTTAAGTACATTCATTTTTGTTATTGTTTATTAAGAAAATGAAGGATTCGAGCTAGAAACCACTTTTTCTACAGCTGAGAGAAAAATATTGCTAATTAAACTAAGTGTGTTAGGTTTTAACAATGCATAAACAAATCATATTTTATGAATATGATATAGTTTTTTAGTTGTATAAAGGTAAACTAAGAATGTCATATCCACGGATGGAGAAAATTGAGGAAGTAGTCTGGGATTGGGATTGTTTCTGGGATTGGGGATTTTACATTCGTTAAGGGGTATGGGATTATGGAAACAGAGTCCAAGGATACAGAGAATCATAGATTTGTTCTTAAGTTCATTGTCAAACTAAAGCAAATTAGTGAAAGTAACAGCATTTGGTTTCTGTTTGTTTTTGTAAACGATTGTTATTGACATTGCAAAAAGTTAGTCTTACTCATACATGCATACTTATAATAGCAACAACACTGAAAAAAAGTCGACCTCATGCATACTTATAAATATGGATATCCATTATTTGATTTGAGTAAATTACTTTATGTATGTACAAGCATTGACATTATACATGTATAAACAATAATGTCATTGCATACATAGAAATGTTGGCTACCCTCAAATCAAATAATGAACATACACATCTAAAATACAAGTATGTTGTATTGTATTTTATACTTATCTTGTTTCTCCCACGTTTTTTGTGCAGACGATGTGGGATATGAAACGTATACAAACTGCAAAGTGTAGATGGTATTGCCAAAAGCTAATTGGAACTTCAATTTCAGAAGTAAAAGGGGATAATATATACAAGTGACAAACTAAAATGGTTGTTCTGACATTTTTGAAACCTTGTGTGAAAATTAAAAAGTGAAGCCCCTTGGCAAATTAAAGGAAGAGAATCTTAAAGCACATACGAGCTGGCATGAGGATAGAAGGTCTAAAATAAAAATGAACAACTAAAGCATCGCTACAAAATTGGCTTCCAACAGGGACTGATTGGTATTACTTAATATAGGTTGGGCCATGAAAATTTAAAACTAGGATTTGGTGGGTTGTGCCAGGCCCGAGCAGTAGTGCAACGCTTGGACGACACTCGAGAGCTCTAATAGCAAGCTACTGTAATGAGCTCTCACCCTACAAAAATTAATTTAATATCATGTGAACCATTGGTCCACGTATCAGATATTAAACTGATAAGAACAGATACTACACTTGATCTTAGCCAAAAGGCCGAGAAAGGTATGCTTATGTCAATATTGGGCATTCGTTTTTATACGCATCTTCGTTCGTCTATTTTCTTCTGTGGTCGATGTGGGATTCTAATGCACTATTTCGAAGTACTCTTTCTGTCCTCGTACTTCAACCCAAGTTCACCTAAAGCCTCTCCGCAGCTCCCTCAAAGTATTCACAGAAAAGCAAATGCATTAAGCTAATAAGATAAAAAAAATAGAAAAAAAATTAGTGAAAGTACATAACTGAAACTACAGCTCTTGGGAAATATCCGTTAATGGATGTTTGAGATGATGGCTTTGAGCTTCTTCTGCAATGCTTCAATGCTTCAATTTCTCCTCACGACCAACACCAAGGTCTCTCCTCTCTCTCTCTCTCTCTCTCTCTCTCTAACGGTTAAGTTTTGTGCTAAAATTTCAGCCAAATTGAAGGTTACAAGCAGCAAAGGCCTTGAAGAAGTGAAGAATCTCATAAGAACTGTTGGGATTCCATAAAAAACCTCATCTCCAGCAAAATCTCTTGAAAATGGCAAATGGGTCAAGCTCATCTGCGGTGCAAGCTTCGAGGATGTGGTTGATATCAGGAACCGTTCTCCGGTTTACACTCTTGCAGGAGGTAATTAACTAAAATTTAACTGATTTTATGCTAACTAAGTGAGATTAGATAGTGGATAAAATTGATGTTAATTGCCTCACAACCGATTGGTTGCAGTTGATAGCACAGACTGCGCAGCAGATGTGTCAGTGGTGAGTGCAGTGAACGAGGGGATTGATGCAGCAGTTGGGATTTTCAGTGGAATCACAACACGGCGTCGCTTGTATCAAGGATTATCCAGAGCATCTCCTTCAGGCACTTAAGAGAGGCCGTTACTTTGGTTGGGAGCTGTCAAATTTTCCAATAAATACTTGGGTAATAGGCTACGTTTGGCTTCTAGGTTGGGCTGGAAAAGACTAAACTAGGATTTGGTGGGTTGTGCCCGGTCCGAGCAGTAGTGCAACGCTTGGACGACACACAAGAGCTCCAGTAGCAAGCTACTGTAATGAGCTCTCACCCTAAAAAAATTAATTTAATATCGTGTGAACCATTGGTCCACGTATCAGATATTAAACTGATAAGAACAGATACTACACTTGATCTTAGCCAAAAGGCCGAGAAAGGTATGGTTATGTCAATATTGGGCATTCGTTTTTATACGCATCTTCGTTCTTCGACTTTCTTCCGTGGTCGATGTGGGATTTTAACGCACTATTTCGAAGTACTCTTTTTGTCCTCGTACTTCAACCCAAGTTCACCTAAAGCCTCTCCGCAGCTCCCTCAAAGCATACACAGAAAAGCAAATGCATTAAGCTAATAAGATAAAAAAAATAGAAAAAAAATTAGTGAAAGTACATAACTGAAACTACAGTTCTTAGGAAATATCCGTTAATGGATTTTTGAGATGATGGCTTTGAGCTTCTTCTGCAATGCTTCAATGCTTCAATTTCTCCTCACGACCAACACCAAGGTCTCTCCTCTCTCTCTCTCTCTCTCTAACGGTTAAGTTTTGTGCTAAAATTTCAGCCAAATTGAAGGTTACAAGCAGCAAAGGCCTTGAAGAAGTGAAGAATCTCATAAGAACTGTTGGGATTCCATAAAAAACCTCCACTCCAGCAAAATCTCTTGAAAATGGCAAATGGGTCAAGCTCATCTGCGGCGCAAGCTTCGAGGATGTGGTTGATATCAGGAACCGTTCTCTGGTTTACACTCTTGCAGGAGGTAATTAACTAAAATTTGACTGATTTTATGCTGACTAAGTGAGATTAGATAGTGGATTAAATTGATGTTAATTGCTTCACAACCGATTGGTTGCGATTGGTTGCAGTTGATTGCATAGACTGCGCAGCAGATGTGTCAGTGGTGAGTGCAGTGAACGAGGGGATTGATGCAGCAGTTGGGATTTTCAGTGGAATCACAACACGACGTCGCTTGTATCAAGGATTATCCAGAGCTCCTCCTTCAGGCACTTAAAGAGAGGCTGTTTCTTTGGTTGCGAACTGTCAAATTTTCCAATAAATACTTGGGTAATAGGCTACGTTCGGCTTCTAGGTTGGGCTGTAAGAGACTAAACTATGATTTGGTGGGTTGTGCCTGGCCCGAGCAGTAGTGCAACGCTTAGCAAGCTATTGTAGTGAGCTTTCACTCTAAAAAAAATTAATTTAATATCATATAAATCATTAACTCACGTATCATATATTAAACTAATAAGAACATATACTACACTTGATCTTAGCCAAAAGGACAAGAAAGGTACGATTATTTCATTGTTGGGCTTCCCTTTTTCTACAAATTAACTCTCCTAATTTAATAAGCTGGCTGATGTGGGACTGTTACACTTTTTTGCAGTGTTGTTTCTAACAATTACATCTTATCACTCTCAGGCCTACAAAACCAAATCTTATCACCAAAATCCAGAGATTAAAATAAAACTTAACACTACTAGGAAACTAAGCTTTACACTAGGATCTCTACTCTTTAGGATGACTCAAGCTAAGAATACTGAACAAAGAGGGTTAAACAAACAAACTCTCTTTAACGATACTTCAATATCTTACAATGCTTGGTGAACCAAGCATGAATGCTCAACCGAGTATATAGGTAAGGGAGGAAGTCTACAGAACCTCATCTAGGACTAAGAGACATTATATTCTTTTGTCTCTTTCCTACAATAATGAAAGGGAATCTCTCTTTACAACTCATTATACTTTACTTTATTCACACTCTAGGAGGATCTTCGTCGGAATCTCTTTGTGAGGATTCTGGAAATCCTCCAATCACATTCGTTTATCGTACATCGTGCGATTAGAAATTATTGTAAATTTTTTATTTAAAATTGAATATAAATAGTACCTAACAAAAATTGACCGCATAATATACGATGACCGGATTTTTATTTAAAAAGTCGACCTCATGCATACTTATAAATATGGATATCCATTATTTGATTTGAGTAAATTACTTTATGTATGTACAAGCAATGACATTATACATGTATAAACAATAATGTCATTGCATACATAGAAATGTTGGCTTCCCTCAAATCAAATAATGAACATACACATTTAAAATACAAGTATGTTGTATTGTATTTTATACTTATCTTGTTTCTCCCACGTTTTTTGTGCAGCGGATGTGGGATATGAAACGTATACAAACAGCAAAGTGTAGACGGTATCGCCAAAAGCTAATTGGAACTTCAATTTCAGAAATAAAAGGGGATAATATATACAAGTGACAAATTAAAATGGCTGTTTTGACGTTTTTGAAACCTTGTGTGAAAATTAAAAAAATGAAGCCCCTAGGCATATTAAAGGAAGAGAATCTCAAAAGCACATACGAGCTGGCATGAGGAGAGGTCTAAAATAAAAATGGACAACTAAAGCATCGCTACAAAATTGGGTTCCAACAGGGATTGATTGGTATTGCTTAATATAGGTTGGGCCATAAAAATTTAAAACTAGGATTTGGTGGGTTGTGCCAGGCCCAAGCAGTAGTGCAACGCTTGGACGACACACAAAAGCTCCAATAGCAAGCTACTGTATTGAACCCTCACCCTAAAAAAATTAATTTAATATCGTGTGAACCATTGGTCCACGTATCAGATATTAAACTGATAAGAACAGATACTACACTTGATCTTAGCCAAAAGGCCGAGAAAGGTATGCTTATGTCAATATTGGGCATTCGTTTTTATGCACATCTTCGTTCTTATATTTTCTTCCGTGGTCGATGTGGGATTCTAATGCACTATTTCGAAGTACTCTTTCTGTCCTCGTACTTCAACCCAAGTTCACCTAAAGCCTCTCCGCAGCTCCCTCAAAGCATACACAGAAAAGCAAATGCATTAAGCTAATAAGATAAAAAAATAGAAAAAAAATTAGTGAAAGTACATAACTGAAACTACAGCTCTTGGGAAATATCCGTTAATGGATGTTTGAGATGATGGCTTTGAGCTTCTTCTGCAATGCTTCAATTTCTCCTCACCACCAACACCAAGGTCTCTTCTCTCTCTCTCTCTATCTCTCTCTCTCTCTCTCTCTCTCTCTCTCTCTCTCTAACAGTTAAGTTTTGTGCTAAAAATTTCAGCCAAATTGAAGGTTACAAGCAGCAAAGGCCTTGAAGAAGTGAAGAATCTCATAAGAACTGTTGGGATTCCATCAAAAACCTCCTCTCCAGCAAAATCTCTTGAGAATGGCAAATGGGTCAAGCTCATCTGCGGCGCAAGCTTCAAAGATGTGGTTCATATCAGGAACCTTTCTCTGGTTTACGCTCTTGCAGGAGATGATTAACTAAAATTTAACTGATTTTTTGCTGACTAAGTGAGATTAGGTATTGGATTAAATTGATGTTAATTGCTTGACAAACGATTGGTTGCAGTTGATTGCATAGACTCTGCAGCCGATGTGTCAGTGGTGAGTGCAGCGAACGAGGGGATTGATGCAGCAGTTGGGATTTTCAGTGGAATCACAGCACAGCGTCGCTTGTATCAAGGATTATCCAGAGCATCTCCCAGGCATTTAAAGTTTGGTTTAGTACTGAGGTGATTCTGAAAAAAGCTGGTATAAAAAAAAGCTAGAAGTTGTTTTTGTGTTTAATAAACATTCAGTTTCAGTTTTTTTTCACAATTTTAGGTGAAACATTATACTCTTTTTTTCACAACAATACCAAACCATCCCTAAAAAACATTATACTCTTTTGTCTCTTTCCTACAATAATGGGTGAAAATCTTTCTTTATATCTTATCACACTTTACTTTAGTCACACTCAATTCATGTCTTATTGATGCTACGTGTCGTCATCATATTCCACCACCTTCCGCATGCATTAGTTCCATCCATCGCTGGGCCAGTACTCGTCATCCACCCCTTTCGAATCATCATACCCATGCCATTGGTCTTGTTCTTCCCAGTTAAGAGTTGTAGTTGAGATCAACTCGTCCTCTTTCTGGCTGCATCTTGGAGATTGACACTTCTCCTCCATGGCTCGATTCGAACGACAGAGCTCCAAATAAGAAACTAGAGGGTAAGTGGTATCTTAGAAGTAGCTAGTTAATGCTTCTAACTCACTGGAGAGATTGCAGAAAGCTATGGTTGAAACATGCCGCATGATATCATACCATTCCAATCTGATGCAATCTAACATCTTTTGGGGTATCATTTGGTAGTAAAGTTAACAACAGGAGAGTGAAATTTGTATCCCATTCCACGTTTGGTGACATTAAAATATTTTTCGTTTTCATGATTGAGTAATTACTCGAGCCAAATTATTGGAATAACTTCTCCCATGTGAGAAATCGACACCAACTTTCGCAAAAGAACCATAAGCCTCATCTCGCTCTCTACATCCCGTGTCCCGATGCTGTATGTGACGTTAACTACCATGACTTCATTTGTCTCGCAACGTTAACTACCATGACTTCGTTTTGCGACATAGTCCCTGACCTCGTCTCTTAGGTCTGCCAAGGTATTTTGTTTTGCGTTTGCTTTAAAACACAAAGGCACAACACAAATAAATTAAATCAACTCGTGCCGCTCAGGAAATACTTAAAAAAAAAAAAAAAACAAAATAGAAACAAAGGAAGGTATTTTATAGTCATCTATTCTCCAAAGTTAATATTGGTTGTGCTCCATCAACTTATTTGATGAATTTTTTAGATAGATCACGTTGTGTTATTTCTCTAATTAGAAGAACGCCATTGCAATGCTGAAATGATCTGAAGTGAATTGCACTCCACATAGAGGTGTCAATGATCTGAAGTGATTTGTACTCTAAAATAATATTATGCATTCCACATAGAGGTGTCAAGAACGCTCTTGCTCACGTAACCAGGAGGCAAGTCAGATCATCGATCACCCACGTGTCTCCTAGTGAGGTTTGCTCTGGTTGGGAGGATGTCATTACCAATTCTGCATGCGCAAACCTTAACTTTGGGAGGAACACGAAAGCTTGCATGTTCCTGAATCCGTAACTCCGTAATCTATTCCATTCCATCACAACGCTTACAGTTTGTAGCAGCAAATAAGTTGCTTGGGTTGGGCCATCAAATTTTAAACTTTGATTTGGTGGGGTGTGCCAGGCCCAAGCAGCCAAACAACGCTTATGCGACACACAAAAATCCCAATAGCAAATTATGCGACACACAAAAATCCCAATAGCAAATTATTGTAATAAACCTTTCTTAAAAAATTAATTTAATATCATATAAACTATAAATCCCAATAGCTAATTATTGTAATAAACCTTTCTTAAAAAATTAATTTAATATCATATAAACTATTGCCCACGTATCAAATATTAAACTAATAATAATAGATACTACACCTGATCTTATCCCAAAAACCGAGAAATGTATGCTTAATTCACCGTCGGGCTTTCGTTTTTATCCCACATCTTAACTCTCCTACTTCCTCAGATGGCCGATGTGGGTTCCCCCCATAGTTTCTTGTAGCGCTGCTTCTAACTTTGCACTGTTAACTCAATTACATCTTACCACTCTCAGGCCAAAAGCAGGAATGTAACATCACATGGGATTGATCGATGAGATCCACCAGTCCTCTTTCTCGTCCTCTTCCTGGCTGCATCATCTTTGATTCTCCTCCGTGGCTCGGTTTGAACGATAGAGCTGGAAACAAGAAATTAAAGGGGGAAACCGGATCTGCGAAAGCTTTCGTTTAAGAGAATGCTGAAACAAGCCGGAACCATTTCAATCTGCTGTAGTTTAATTTGTTTAAGAAAGTTGATGTTTTGCTGAGAGCAAATTGCTCTAATCCAACTTTGTCCATGTTGGTCAAAACGCAAAGCAGGGACCATGTTTCTATTAAAATGATGGTAATAGTAAACAAATAGTATTATCAATGCAATATTTAATGTAAAAAATTACTATCTGATACAAAAATGTCATATATCACGTAACCATAAGTTATAATATAATTGGACGATCTGATAATATTCCACCCAATGATATAATAATATAATTTATATTTTAACACATAATGCAATTATACCAGTGGTATTCCACCATGACAAATATTTGCCCCTCGTGACTTTCCTCTTTGTTGTATGCATTGGCATCCCAAGGCTTCATGGATGCAAAGTACAATCAATGAACTATGTTTCACAACATAAATATCGACCCCAACTTATGCTGAAATAAACAACATATATTTATCGGATTCGCTTATTAGAGCAATTCCAGCTATTCCCAGCAGAGGTAAGAGCCGTTTAACTGCCCAAAACATAAAAAAGTTGCTTCAGCGGGCCATGGCGATTCGGGGGCTCCGTCAAGCCCGTTGTGCTGTCCAGCCAACTTTTGCCCGCCCATGAGTCCACTCATGACTCCACATGGAACGGCGTTAGTCAGTGGAGGGCAGGCCTTGCGACATACGCCAGCCGACAGAGTCCAATGGCTCTTTGCCCTGCCTGTCCTAGATTGTTGGATTTCTAAACGGTCATTTTTTTTTCCTCGAAAATCCTACTATTGTGCCACATGGAACAATCATGATTAATCTAACTGTAAAAAATTAAATAAAAAGAACAATTAAGTTTATAAAAACTCAACCATCTTCTTCATTCCCCACACTACAACTCATTATTTATTTTCACTGTTTTAAAAATCTCCGCCAAGATGTTAGGCGGTTAGCCACCGTCTCGATTAGTGCCTAGACGTTTAAAAATTAAGAAAGGCACCTAGACCTGCTTAGGCACCCTCCTAGGCCGCCTAGGCAACCGTCTAGGTTGCTACTCTTAGACAGAAAATAAATTGTAAGAGACTTATTGAATACTTAAATGAACACACATTATATGTTTGTTTCTCATGTTTTTCCCTTATATTCCAATACTTCATATTATATATATATCATTCTATTTTGTAGTTTATGATAAAATTATATATATTTTAAGTATAAACAGACATTTATTTACACGAAATATAATAGATCTACTCGCCTAAACGTTAGGCCGCAGCCCGCCGTCTGACTAGCGCCTAACGTCTTTTAGAACCTTGTTTATTTTTACTACAATCTCTTATATTTGTTTTCCACTTTCCAAGTACTTTTGTTACAAAAAATATTAGAGAGAAAGCATGTTGATCAATTGGAAAAGACGTTACACCCGAGGACGTTGCTTTGCTTGAGACTTAGGTGCTGGTAACTCATTATTCGATCACGGGAAAGAAATGAAAGTGCAACACATGTGGAAGAAGATTTTTGCACATGACACTACATAAATAGTTGAGAATCTTATCAAAAGACTGAGCGAGTAGTATTAATGAATAATCACACATGACGAGAAAATCTCATTGGAAATATAAGATAATATCGACAAGGGGAAGATAAAGCCAACAAAACATTAAAAAATTTAAAATGTGTATAAGTGAATAATAATTGTCTTTGCCCTTGCCCATACCCAACGGATGGAGTTGCCCAAAGTCAATTCAAATGTCTTGCCCTTGCCCTTTTCCAAAGGATGCAATTGCCGTTACAAGCAGTTAAAAGAGTTCCCTGGTAATGAATAGAACAAGAGGTGTAGCTGTACTATTGAAAGGAAAAAATTTATAATGACACTGCGGCTCTCGCATTCTGTTTCCGAGAGGCAACCAAACCAACAACAACATTCATTTTAGATACGACAGAAACATGGAATTATACGACTATGTAATTAAGTTACTCTTCTGACATTAAAACTTGAAAAGCCTCTTCAAAAATCAACCATCATCTCTGGATCCCGGTGGTTTGTCTAGCCAATTCATCCTGGAAATTATTTCTCCCGATAGTAGTATGATCGTTCACGCACGTATCAAAATCAGGGGCAGCAGAGACATGTTTGATTTCATAAACGTATCAGTGGTCACGGGCACTTTTTATCGATACTGGGGGCTCTTGCGCTGTGCCTCTGGATATTAGGTCATGGTTTAAGAATAAAACAATGACAGTTATATCATCGTGAAAATGCCGTCTGACCTTCTTGTCAATTTTTCGAAGATCTGAATATCGCATCTCTCTTTTCCTTGCAGCTTCTTGGAGAGCCGTCTTAACAAGCCGCTTGGCACTTCCCTGCCAACACGGGTACTAGTCAACATCAGAGATCAAGAACAGCATATAATCTCATTAAAATAGATATACACAATAAGTATCAGATACCAGAAAATGCTTAAAGCATCGGCTCAAAGCCAATGCTTCTTTTTACTTCCCTAAGGTGCAAATTAAAAGGCAAAGTATTTATCCTTACATCTATATTTCCGTCAATAGGTATTCAAAACTCAAGTCGGCACAAGCATCAATATCAGATAAAAATGTGACAGCGAGGAATAAAGATAAATATTTTCAAGAATATTGAAACCTATATGTTTCGTCTGGGCATCCATTCAAATATACTTCTTCTATTGCGATCATTCTTTAAGGACATTTGATCTACACCAAGGCAGGTAAGAAAGTATGACATGAATGTGATTGAAAATAAGAATTATTTAATATGACTAAAAACTGAAAAGGTCAGAATCTTACTGCATGTGGATGATTGTGGACAATCTCAACCGCTTTTTCATTACTCAAGTGTTCCCATAGACCATCAGAAGCAAATATAAGGAAAGAATCATTTGGATGGAGGGGATGAGAAAGAATGGTTGGTTCGGCAGACAAGATAGGCATGGTCATTGGTTCGGGAAGTCTGAATTTTGCACTAATTGGCTCCCTG